TGCTATAGGACGCGTGCGCTTGGCAGAAAGACAGAGAGAGACAGAGAGACAGAAAGCGAGAAATCACCTCCCGGAGGGATGGCCATGCTGCAGTCCCTTCTCCTCCATTCTCCTCTCAGGATTTTGGCCATGCACGCACACATGCCCAGTGTGAGTTTAAGCCACCGGCTTTGGGACTTGAACCATGGTTAATTACATAAGAGTCCATGTAGCCATTACGCCATCTGCTGGTCCCCAGTTTTTAACATTTCTTCTGGATTGTGTAGGAGCTTGCAATGGATTCTGCGAAATCTAAGTAAACTTGTATTAGGAGAACACTGGACAAATGGGTAGAGTTGTTGCTCTCTTTCATAAAAAAAATCATTTCCCTTGCCTTGTCCCTGCCAAATAATCGTATGTATTAATAGTTCGGGAAACTGAAGCCTGCTACCCATGAGAATACCAACCGTGGCCATCACAATGGCCTTTTCTGAGCACGCACTGAGCTCGTGGTTAGCGGAAATGTTCTCTTGATTTCTTGCATCAATCTTGCAAGACAGGTGTTATATCCCTTTACTTGCGAGGAAGTGGAGACTCAGAGAGGTTCAGTCACTTGCCAAGTACGTACATCTAGTAAGGGGGATTGGGGCTTGACTCTGGGTTGGCTACTCTACAGCCTGCACTTCTCTGCAGAAGAAGCTGAGACTGAATAATCCAGAAACGGGGAGGAGGGACAGAGTAAATACAGAAGATGGTGCTGCATTTTCTGATGTATTTGCATTCAAGGTCTTTGGAATTAAAGGTGGTAGAAGAGGACCGAAATGAGAGGAGGCGACGTTAGATCCAGTGGGGGGGATCTAACGTCACTTCCAGGGAAGTCATGTGAAGATTTCTGCCTAGAAAGTTTGTCCCAGGGCTTTGTGGTGGGCAGCCTTTATGCTGGCCCCCTGCACTGACTCTATATTTTAGGAAAGAGATGTTCAACATAAACCCTAAATCACAAAATGGTCTAATCTAAAATAGATTAGAAGGGCTAGTCTATGGTCTAGTGGCAAAGGATCCCACACGGCCGACCACAGTTTGAATCCCAGCTCTGGCGACTTGGAAAACATGCTGGGCATGTGGGCATGTGTGCCCCAAATCTCAACAGGTTGCAGAAATGGAGGAGAAGGGATTGCAGTGTGAGTCTAACCCTCTGAGGGGTGCTTTTTTTTTTTTTGAGAGGTTTTTACTATAGGGCGTGTGCACTCACCAGACAGACAGAGAAAGACAGAGAGACAGAAAGCAAGAAATAGTCCCCCAGGGGGGATGGCCATGCCTCAATCCCTTCTCCTCCATTCTCCTCTCGGGATCTTGGGCACGCACACACACGTACCCGGTCCAGGACTCGAACCGCAGTTGACTATGTGGGAGTCCAGCGACATAGCCATTACGTTAACTGCTGGTCCAAGAGGGGTGCTTTCTCTATATACCTCTCTCTCTGTCTCTTTCAGGCAAGTGATGTGTCCTCTGGGACTTTGAAATAAAAAAAATAAATAAAATAAGATGGATAAGAGATTAGGAAAAAATAAGTCAAGCCTAGGCTAATTTCCCTAAAGGAACTGCTACTTGGCTCACGTATTTGATTTTCATTCATTTAGCACTTCTGAGCACTTGGGTTCTGGGCTGGGTGCTTAGTAGGGACACAAACAAAATAGAGACTTTGTCGTCAGAGAGTATAAAATTTTGCTGGGAAATACACTGACGTCTTTGGCATTTGGAGTTTAACATAGCTTTAACTATTTTCAGCCACCAGAAGTTAAGGTCAGATCAGTGGTTCCCAGTCTCAAATCTACATTGGGATCATCTTTTTAAAAGATAAATGCTAGAACTTGACAGCTAGAGATTCTGAATTAATCTAAGGTGCTGCTTGGGGACTGAGGTTTTTCAAAAAGGCCTCAGTGGGGCTCTATGGAGGAGGGGTTGATTCCCAGGCTGGTCAGGGCAAATACGAGATGGCACCTGGAACAGTAGCATCAGGCAGTGCTTAAAAAAAGTGAAACCCAGCATCCTGGGTTGGAGCCTGGAAGAGAAAAAAGACCTTAGTAGGAAAACTGGTGAAATCCAAATAAAGCCTGAAGTTTAATTACTAGTAATAAATCAGTGTTGGTTTCTGAGTTTTGACAAATGTGTCATGGTCACATAAAATGTTAGCATTGTGAGGAACTGGCTGAAGGGAACCCAAGAACCTTGTGTACTGTCTTTGAAATTGTTCTGTAAATCTATTCCAAAATAGATTGCAAATAAATTCCCAAAATAAAAAGCCCGTTAGGGCCAGCGAGGTGGTACAGTGATAGCATCCTGCTCAAGCAATGCTGGCTTCAGGATCCATATGGGAAATTGTGGGTTCGGTTCTCTGGTTGACCTGTACACACCAGGCATGCGCACTATGATCCTGCCTAGCTGGAAAGACCGGGGCAGGGATCATGGTGTGTGGGCTTGGCAAGAGTTGTTTTTCTTTCTTATGAAGGAAATAGATTTAAAAAACATTTTTTTGGGGAGAGGTTTTTGCTAAAGGGCATGTGTGCTCACCAGAAAGACAGAGACAGAGAGACAGAAAGTGAGAAATCACCCCAAGGGGGGATGGCCACACCACAATCCCTTCTCCTCCATTCTCCTCTTGGGATCTTGGGCACGCACACACACGCGCCCAGCATGAGTTTAAGCCACTGGGTCCGGGACTTGAACTGTGGTCGACTACGTGGAAGTCTAGTGACATAGCCATTACTAAGTACTGGTCTCATTTTGAAAAACTTTTTAAAAAAAGTTTAATAATAAAAATAACATGGTGCCAGCCAGTGGCATGGTGGTTAAGTTGGCTGAATCCCACATGGCCCACTGTCAAGTCACAGACCTAGGAGTTTGAAAAACATGCTGGACCTGAGTGTGCCCAAAAATCCCCACAGGAGGGAGAAATAGAGGAGAAGGGATTGTAGTATGGTTGTCCCACATCGGCAGTGCTTTCTCACTTTCCCTGTGTGTCTGTCTGTCTCTGGTGAGCACATATGCCTTCTAGCAAATTAAAAAAAAATAAAAAGGGCATAAAAAAAGAGGGTAGAGTGTATGAACAGGTCAAAAGGACTCAGGAGGTAACCTGAAAGAGTTACTAATAGCTAAAGCTGGAGTAATTAGAGTAATAACAATAGGGTTGGACTTTAGCATAGAATAAAATAAGTACCCATGACTTTATACTGAATAGATCAGTGAATGAATGGTGGGACAGTTCTTCCTTACTGAAGAATTAAATTAAATAAGAAATCGCTATTTAGAAAATCACAGCAGTATTTGTTGCAAGTAAAATCATTGCAAAACATATAATCAATACCTGTTCAAATGAATGAGGGTAGGGACCAGCAGGTGGCATGGTGGTTAAGGTGCTGGACACTCCCACATGGCCAACCACAGTTTGAGTCCCGGACCTGATGGCTTTATTTCTCACTTTCCCTCTCTTTCTCTGTGTCTCTCTCTGGTCAAACTAAAAAAATAAATGAATAAATAAATCAAATTAAATAAGTAATTCTTTAAAAAAATGAATGAGGGTAGACAGAACAGTTGCATAGTCTCTCAGTGTCTCCCTCAAGGTACTTATTAAATATAAAGGGGGAAATGGTAACTTTACAGTAGAGACATTGCCTAGCTTCTTTAAGGGGAAAGCATTCGGGCTTCCACCATTAAGTAGAATGTCAACTGAGATTTTTAAAGACGGTCTTTTATCAAGTTGAGAAACTGCCTGCTGTTCTTAACTTGAAGAAAAGCTTTTTTTTTTTTTTTTGGTAATGAATGTTTGGTTTTATAAATGGCTTTTTATGTCAATTGATAACAACTGTATGGTTTTTCTCTTGAGCTTGTTGATGTGCTGGATTATATTAATTGATTCTGGAATGCTGAACCTCTTTTGTCTACCTGGGCCAGATCCCAATTGGTTATGGTGTATAACTCTGTGGATACATTCTTGGATTTGAATTGCTAATATTATATTGAAGATTTTTGTGTCTAAGTTCATGAGATACATTGGTCTGTAGTTTCTTTTTAAAATAATTTAAAAAGTATATCGTCTTTCTCTGATTTTGGTATCAGGGTAGTAAATGACCCAGGATCAGGGTGTTTTATGGCCTCATAAAGTCAGTTGGAAAGTGCTCTTTCCTCTTCTGGTGTTCATTCTTCTTTAGATGTGTGATAGCCTTTTCCAGGGAAACCATCTGGGCCTGGAGATTCCATTTGTGAGAACTTTTAAATTATGTAATTAGACTAATTAACAAATGAATTATGGTAATATAAATGATATAATTAGGTCAATTAATTACGAAGCAGTAGCTTTATACTTATATAATTTGTATTCCCCAAAGCGCCAACTAGAGAAATAGAAATGCTTTTTATTTTACCAGAGGAGAATGTCAGAGAGGATCATTCCCTGCCCTCCTGGATGACCCTACCTCCACCTGCTTCTTCTCTCCATCCCTTGGGCGATTTCAAGACTAAGGGTGGGAAGGTCGGGAGGGGTCCCTTGCGGGTGTCCCAGGTGTTTCCTCATGGGGCAGGCAATGGGTGCTGAGGGAGATAGAGGAGAGCTACCAGGTCCTGTGTGAGAGAACACTTAGGAGAGCCAGGTGGGCCCCAGCAGCCCCCTCACCCCTTGTGGTCATGTGATAACAAACAGCAGCTGCCAACCTGGAGGCAGGCATAGAGATCAAAGTCCCTGCGAGGGCTGGCCCCTCCCCCATCCCACATGATGTTGTCATGTGGCTGTGACAACAAGGGGAGGCAGGTGTTGGCCATTGAAAGGGAAGCGTGTGAAAGGGGACAAGTGAAAGAGAGGAGTCCGCAAAGATCCAGGCTCAGCCCTGGGGTTTCATGTGAGGATCAAGGCCAGGCTTTGTGGCTGCCCACAGCTGTCCTGGGTACACATTCAGCTCCACAGGCTTCTTTTTTTTAAAATTATTATTATTATTTTTTAGATTTTGTTATAGGGCATGTGTACTTGCTGGAGACAGAGAGGGATGAGAGTGAGAAATCACCTCCTGGGGGATGGGTGGTCACACGGCAATCCCTTCTCCTCCATTCTCCTCTGGAGATTCTGGGCATGCACACACGCACTCAGCCTGTTTCTCAAGCTGCCAGGTCTGGGACCGAGCCACGAAGTTGGCCGTACAGGCCACCATGCCACCCACTGGCCCACGTAGGCTGCTTTCATTCTGTGCAAGCTATAGAGCCACCATGTGCACACTCTGGGACCGCACACACTTATGTGAACAGATGTTTGTGTCAGGCTGAAGGAGGGGCCTACAGTCTCTCTGGGGTGAACCCTCCTAGCTGACTCGGTGTCCCTCTGGACTGGGCTCTTGCCACAGGGACCTGAGCCTGCACTTCCCAGCAGGCAGCTGATGCTGCCTTTGATCTCGCTGGGCGACCCAAAGGCATGTTCTTGGTTGTGGTACCTGAGGGTGGCAATAGCAGGAGAGGAAGGTGGTAAGAAACTGGCAGGAGGGGGCCCGACCCAAAGGCATGTTCTTGGTTGTGGTACCAGAGGGTGGCAGTAGCAGGAGAGGAAGGTGGTAAGAAGCTGGCAGGAGGGGGCAGGCAAGTGGTATGGTGGTTAGAAGTATTGAACTCTCATGTAGCCGACCATGGTTTGAGTCCTGGACCTGGTGGCTTGCTTTCTCACTTTTCCTTTCTCTCTCTGGTCTAATTACAAAATAATAATAAAGTGAAATAAAATAATTCTTAAAAATATATTTTTTAAAAAAGGGAATTGGCAGGAGCCGGCATAGGTTTGCTATGAAGGGGTGGGAGTTTCAAGTCTACGCAACTTGCTTAAGGTCCGTTAAGGCCTGCATCCAAGTCAGTAATGTCCTCGGTTTCCTCATTTGTACAGTAAGACAGTTGTGCACAATCTAGCACTCGGCCTAGTCAGAACATGGTAAATGTTTGATTATGATCAGCCATTGTTATGAATTAATATTAATAGACCATTTCGTCACCAAAGGCAGAATTACAATGACAGCAAAAATTTGGCATTAGCGGAAGTATGATGAAATTAGAGTTGTTAATGGTTCATAAACATGTGAGGCCAGACGGGCTCTGTGGCATGCCCCCACTCGGAGCCTCCCCAGCAGCCTGTCTGTCTTGATCCCAGATGCAGTGGCTGTTCTGCCTGCCCCTCAGAACCTCTCTGTGTCCTCAACCAACATGAAGCACGTCTTGACGTGGAGCCCAGTGGTTGTGCCTGGTGAAACAGTACGTTACTCCGTTGAGTACCAGGGGTAAGTTCTTCTTCTTCTTTTTTTTTTTAATATTTTTTTTCTCCCTTAGATAGTACCTGGTTCCCAGAGGCACAGCCCTTCCTTCCTGGTTGAGGGCTTTGTGAGTCTGGGGATGGACTATCTTCAGCGACTACTCCCTGTCTGTGTGGGTACGTGGAGAGTGGGCTCAGAGAGGGAGATTGTTCTGTGGACTTGATGGCGGGCTAGCTGGGAACACTAAATTCATTAGGGTGGGGCTCTTTTCAACAGTGAGTCAACTGTCAAACGAGTTTGACTTTAACTTGAGATGGATAAATTGTTGGATCAGATCCTTTGGGGGTGAGAGAGACCTTAGTTTTCCTGACGTGAGCTTAACACCTAGGAGCCAAAACAAGTCCTAATGGTCAGGGGCCCTGGAGCCAGCTCATCTAGTTTCTCCAGGTGCCCAGGTGCTTGCAGCTGTTGAGAAGTGACAGGCACACGGAAGGCGCTCAGTATGTTCTATTAGTAGTGAATATAAACTTAATGCCTACTCGCGTGGGGACACAGTAGACAAGATTTTTCTGTTGGGTCATCTGGAAAGTCATGACACATTTTCGCATAGAAAAACAGGTCATGACTGTCCCAGCGACATAATATGCATGGGGAGCTCACACCTAGAGGAGACGGAGAGTAAATACATTAGGCCTGCACTGCGCAGCGTGATAGCCTCTAGCCCCAGGGGGCTATTAAAATTAAAATGAAATGATCTACTTCCCAGTCACCCTGGACTTCTGTGGTGAAGTGGCCCCGGGTTGGCTAGGGCCTGCCATATTGAATGACACCGAGATGGACGGTTTCATTGGTCACTGGACGTGCTATTGGGCAGCATGCTCTGGGCAGTTCAGGAAGCCGTCAGTGCTGGGTGTGGATAAAAGGCTGGTGTGCTGGGGAGTTGACTCTGCTGCTCCTTTGTAATAGGTGGTCAGGGAAGGCCTCCTCTAGGTGGTCAGGGAAGGCCTCTCTGAGGAGGTGATGTTTACAGCATGTCTGAGGGATGAGAGGACAGAGCAAACACCAGTTAAAAGTCCTAAGGCTTTTGCGTGGAGCTCAGCATTTTAGAGGTATGACCAGGTGACCAGCGTGGCAAGAGCACCATGCTTAGGGGCAGGGAGAGAGAAAAGGCCGGAGGGTCTTACAGGCCACGAGGAGTCAGTGCTCTATTCTCAGTGCTACAGATGCCGGTGAGAGGAATCACGGTCTGCTCAGCAATGAGTGGTCTGAAGAGCAGGTATGGAGGCGGAGCAGCCCCAGCAAGGCAAGGGATGACGGCAGCTGAGATCAGGCTGGTGACTGGAGCTGGAGAGACCTGGACAGACAGGCCGTGTGCCCAGGCTTCCCTGTCTGGTGATGAGAGGAGTAAGAACGGATGGTAGTGAGAGAGGAGAGTGGAGGAGCGAGCGTGGAGCAGGTGCTGCTTTCGCCCACCCAGAAGTAGAATGAAGGCAGTTTTTGTGACCATCGCTGGGCCCGGGCCGAAGGAGCTGGTGTGACGCTGGCCTCTTCTTGCCCTGGCCCGGG